AGCTGCGCTCAAAGTTTGGAAGCATCCCAGTAACATCACTAACATGGAATATCCACAAATGAATTGTTCCAGCGGTCTTAATATTCATTATATATTACATCAAGTTCTCGAAAGAAAAAAGAATCTTTCTTTTTCGAACAATAAACTGATAACAAAAAAGAAAGAAAATGTGAGAACCGCAATCTTCTGATTGGTTTAACAAAAGAATTCTTTTCTTCAACAAATTTTTACAAAGTTTTTAAGCGGCCCTGGTATTCCCGGTTTAGTGCATACAGTTCCAGGAAAAAAGAATTTTTTTTTGAACAAAAAGCTTATAGCAAAAAACAAAAAAAGAAAGTGTAAGAACAGTGATTTCTGATCGGTTTTTAATAAAAAAAAATCATTTTTTACAACTTTTTCGAAAACAACTATGAGTTTGATTTAAAACATCAAAGTCATGATTTTGGTGTTATTTTTTGTGGAAAAATTTTGTAACTATTAGCCTGTTATCACAGCAGTCGAATTTTTACGTATTACCTCGGTTTAGCAAAAAAATTCATTTTTTTTTAAAAAAATTTTTTCCCGCAACTTTTTTCGAAAATACTTATAAATTCGATTTTCGAACATCCAAGTCATGCCTCTGGAGTTACTTTTTTGTAAAAAAATTTTGTAACTACTAGCCTGCTACAGTGATCGAATTTTTACATATTATCTCGTTTTAGCAAAACATTCATTTTTTTTTTCTAAAGTCTTTTTCTATAAATTTTTTCCGAGCACACTCCTAAAGTTCGATTTAAGTCATGCTTTTAGTGCTATTTTTTGCAAAAAAAAATTTTGTAATTACTAGTCTGTTATCACAGTTGTCGAATTTTTACATATTATCACAAACAATTCAACAAAAAGGGAGGAAGGAGGACAACAAGTACCAATTAGAAAATCAAATCTGCAAAATGCACTCCAAATCACCAAAAATAATGATGCTCTTGACAATCTGTGTGCTGTTCTCGACTAGACGAACTTCGAGGGCAATTGCTCACGTTGCATATTTGAAGAAAAAAAAAATCGGCTAAATAAAACTTGCAAAAAAAACCGGAATTGAAAAAGGTGCCTAAAATCACTGTATAAACAAATTTAGAGTTTGGCAGTCTTCTTTGGCCGACTTGATTTCCCTTCGCCAATTGCTTTACGTTCACGTTTCTTCAAATTATCCACGTTTGCTTTTAGGACAGATGCATAAGCCAGCTGGAATTTGTTCACCTCCTTGGCATGCACCTGAAACAAACATGAATCACGAAGGTAGGCTGTGAACGAATACGATATCGCGGTACCAAGATGACGGTGTACAAGGATGTGGATACATGTGTGTATGTGGGTGTGTGTGTGCGTCTGTGCGCATATGTGTGTGTGCCTCACGAAGATAGACTGTGAGCGAACACGATATCGCGGTAGCTAGACGACCGTACAGACGGATACGTGTTTGTTTGTTCGTGTATATGTGTGTGTTTGTGTGTGTCATGAAGGTAGATTGTGAGCGAACACAATATCGTGGTACCTGGACGACGGCACAGACAGATGTGTGTTTACCTGTTTGTGTGTGTGAGTGGTGTGTGTGCTTGTGTGTGTGTTTGTGTGTGTACGTGTGTGTGAGTGCGTGTGTGTGTACATGTGCGTGAGTGCGTGTGTGTATGTGTGTGTATGCATGTGTGTGTGTGTGTGTGTGTGTGTCTGTTGTCCCTAATCTTCAATAACGGAACAACGATGCACGTGTTCTCCCGGTCCCAGCCCCCTAGCATATAAGTTTAGCGGAGCACTATCTAAAAACAATTCAAGCCTCATTTTCGCTATTTAAACTTCTTTTTGGTATTGTGCTAAAACATTATATCATCGGTTTATGTGAGCTACCTACGTACAAGCCAACAAATGTCCGTGCCTGCTATTTTCCTAATTGTTACTTGAAATTTCTTGTAAACACACCCTCACAGGCCAAGGAATGGATGCCCTATCACTGGTGATTCTTATCAATGAAATTTCGGCGACAAATTACATCAAGCATCATATCCTTTGTATAATGCAAAAAGGATTACACCAATGACCAGAATCGTAGTAATGACGAGGTCTAGTTGTGGTAATGGTAAGAAATGTATACGACTTAATGGACCGAAATATTTTTTATTTCTTTATAATTTTATTAAATTATAACTTGAATTTTATAATTTTATTTTATTTTTTATTATAATTAAATTAAATTTTTAAAATTAAATCATCAAATTATTAACGAAACAAAATTAAACTATAATTTTATAATTATAATTTTATTAATATATTTTACTACGTTTATTAATTTCTTAATAATATTATTTGCTTTTGTCTTCTTCCAACTTTGAAATATTTTTCTACTACATC